CAAGCGCAGGCACCCGCCGCAAGCAAAATCCAGCTGTGGCCAGCCGGGGTGCAGGGGTGAGGAGGTGCCAAAGGGCGCCCGGGGGTCCCGCAGATCCTACCGGAGACCAGGCCTGGGAGCCTAGGAGCAGCAGCTGTAGGGGGGAATGCCTTCGGTCTCCAGCTCCTCCTGCGCTGCTTCTCGAGGAAGACAGAGGGAAGGAAAGGAGTGCAGAAAAAACCCAATTCGATTCTATTTGGACCCTGGCTGAGAGATTTGCCGCCTGAAGAACTAGGGGAGTGGGGGTGGGCTTTTAAAAACTACTTACCGGGCTCTACTGAAGTTACCAAAGTGCGAGGTCAACCAGATTCAACTGAGGGAGGAGGCGGGGCGGGCCCTGGTCAACTTTTGCAGGCTCCGCCTCGCCTGCCCGCCTGCCTATCCCCGCCCTCATGAAAAAGCACGAAAATCTCTCGCGTTCGGAACGATGAGCAAGTTTGGGCCTCTTCGGCCACCGCACGCTTCAATATGGCTGCCCCCAGAGAGAGGCCGGGCTAGCGTGAAGTTGGAGCGTAGACAGCTCAAATGCTACACCGTATGGATCATAACGCAGAATTTGGGAGGTGGAAGGCGCAGTGTTTAAGCAGAGCGGACCTCAGCCGGAAGGGCAGTGTGGACGAGGACGTGGTAGAGCTCGTGCAGCTCCTGAACGCGCGAGAACAGTTTTTCACCACTAGCTCCTGCGCGGGCCGCATCGTCCTCCTCGATGGGGTGAGGCCCCTTTCTGCCCTCCAGCGCTTGCCCCTTAGTTCACAAGTTTGGGAGCTCTATTCCCATTCAGTGTAACACCCAGTCTAGCCTTCTGCGTTTGTCCCTTTGGGGGATGGTCTCAGTTTCTTTACCAAAGAAACATAGGGTGAATTAGACTAGTGCTTCTAAAATTTCAATCTTTTGATCACTTAAGGTTCTTTCAACATACAGGTTCTGATTGTGTAGGTCAAGGGTGGGGCCTGGTAGCGTGGATTTCTAAGAAGTCTTGAAGCAATGCTAAAACTGACGGTCTGGGAACTATCTTGAGTGGCAAGGATTAAAGAATTTGGTTTTACGAATATTAAAGGAATTATAAGACTTTCTAGCCTTGTGACCTATTATTGAACACTGGAGTACTGTCTTCAACTGTTTTGCCAAATTGCTGTTTACAAGAGATTGAACGTTATCAGGGTTACGGAGTTCCCTGCCTCCTAGTGGCCCACTCCGTTATTACAGCTCTGGAAATTTTTTCTCAGGGTTTAAGTATGAGAATAAAATAGTGGTCAAGCCCTTAGCTTTACAGTGATAGTATTAGATTCTAAAGCTATTACCGGAATTGTTGACTACGTGACCTTAGGAAAAATACTCTAAGCTCAGTCTCTTCCTGAAGCATGAATTAAGGATAACAAAGAATACCTGCTTTGTAGGATATGGGATAATTTATCTGAAATATACATTTTCCTGGTTCTTGTTAAGTGCACTGTAGAACTTGGCTATGTATTGATTTTGTTATGAGTATTGAAATCAGACATGAACAACAAGTATTTTCATAGCTCATAGGCTCATTCCTTAGATCAATTATTGATCGATTGCTGGTCTCTTAAGTTAGCAGGGCCTGTTCGTTTTTATATTGCTTCTGTTCCTTTCAGAGCATTGGCAGTCTTGCCCACATATTTTCTGTCCTCCCATTTCTACTAATGTATATCACTTGAATTTCTGCAGTGGTTTCCTAACAAATCACTGAACTACCATACAGTTATGCATACCACACCACATTTTGGTCAAAGATGGACGTCATGTATCACAGTGGTCCCATAAGATTATTCTGAAGCTGAAAAATTCCTATTGCCTAGTGACATCATAGCCCTCCTAACATCACAGCACAACATACTCAATGTGTTTGTGGTGACGCTGATGTAAACAAACCTATCACACTGCCAGTTCTGTAAAAACAGTATATATAATTGTGTACAGTACCTAATATTTCATAAAAATAAATGACTGTTACTGCTTTATGTATTATACTATATATTTTTATTATTACTTTAGAGTATAGTCTTACCTATTAAAAAAGAAACATGTTTACCATCTCTGGATTACACAGTGTTCTCTTGTGCTTGATATACTCTTGTGTCGTTTCATTTATCCTGAACTTTCCAGTGTTTATGTGGAGGTAGAAGACAGTGATACTGATGACTCTGCCCATTATAGACCTATGCTAATGTGTGTGAGTGTGCTTGAGTTTTTAATGAAAAAGTTTCAAAAGTTTTTAAAAATTAAATGAAAAAACTTCTGGAATAAGGATATAAACAAAAAATATTTTTGTAAAACTGTCCAATTTTTTAAGCTATGTGTTTTTACCTTTTTTTTTGTTTTTGAGAGATTTTTGCTATAAGGCGTGTGCACTCGCCAGAAAGAGAAACAGAAAATGAGAAATCACCCCCCAGGGGGAATGGCCACACCAGAATCCCTTCTCCTCCCTTCTCTCCTCTCCGGATCTTGGGCATGCACGCACATGCACCTGGCGTGAGTTTAAGTCACCAGGTCCGATGCTCAAACTGCAGTCAGTTACATGGGAGTCCAGCGATGTAGCCATTGTGCCAACTGCTGGTCCCTAAGCTATGTGTTTTTATAAGAGTTTGAAAGTCAAACAAGTTAAAAGTTTATGAAGTTAAGTTACAGCATGCTAAAGTTAATTTATAATTAAAGAAAAATGTTTTTCTTATAAATGGAATATGGCCTAAGTGTTTGTAAAGTCTGCAGTGTACCTAAGCCTAAGAGACGTGAGCCTTCACATTCTTTCACCATTCACTCACTCACTCACCTAGAGCAACTTCCAGTCCTATGAGCTCCATTCACGGTAAATGCGCTATGGGAGTGTACAAGTTTTTATATCTTACACTCTATTTTGACTGTACCTTTTCTATGTTTAGAAACAGTTCACAAGTTTGGGAGCTCTATTCCCATTCAGTGTAACACCCAGTCTAGCCTTCTGCGTTTGTCCCTTTGGGGGATGGTCTCAGTTTCTTTACCAAAGAAACATAGGGTGAATTAGACTAGTGCTTCTAAAATTTCAATCTTTTGATCACTTAAGGTTCTTTCAACATACAGGTTCTGATTGTGTAGGTCAAGGGTGGGGCCTGGTAGCGTGGATTTCTAAGAAGTCTTGAAGCAATGCTAAAACTGACGGTCTGGGAACTATCTTGAGTGGCAAGGATTAAAGAATTTGGTTTTACGAATATTAAAGGAATTATAAGACTTTCTAGCCTTGTGACCTATTATTGAACACTGGAGTACTGTCTTCAACTGTTTTGCCAAATTGCTGTTTACAAGAGATTGAACGTTATCAGGGTTACGGAGTTCCCTGCCTCCTAGTGGCCCACTCCGTTATTACAGCTCTGGAAATTTTTTCTCAGGGTTTAAGTATGAGAATAAAATAGTGGTCAAGCCCTTAGCTTTACAGTGATAGTATTAGATTCTAAAGCTATTACCGGAATTGTTGACTACGTGACCTTAGGAAAAATACTCTAAGCTCAGTCTCTTCCTGAAGCATGAATTAAGGATAACAAAGAATACCTGCTTTGTAGGATATGGGATAATTTATCTGAAATATACATTTTCCTGGTTCTTGTTAAGTGCACTGTAGAACTTGGCTATGTATTGATTTTGTTATGAGTATTGAAATCAGACATGAACAACAAGTATTTTCATAGCTCATAGGCTCATTCCTTAGATCAATTATTGATCGATTGCTGGTCTCTTAAGTTAGCAGGGCCTGTTCGTTTTTATATTGCTTCTGTTCCTTTCAGAGCATTGGCAGTCTTGCCCACATATTTTCTGTCCTCCCATTTCTACTAATGTATATCACTTGAATTTCTGCAGTGGTTTCCTAACAAATCACTGAACTACCATACAGTTATGCATACCACACCACATTTTGGTCAAAGATGGACGTCATGTATCACAGTGGTCCCATAAGATTATTCTGAAGCTGAAAAATTCCTATTGCCTAGTGACATCATAGCCCTCCTAACATCACAGCACAACATACTCAATGTGTTTGTGGTGACGCTGATGTAAACAAACCTATCACACTGCCAGTTCTGTAAAAACAGTATATATAATTGTGTACAGTACCTAATATTTCATAAAAATAAATGACTGTTACTGCTTTATGTATTATACTATATATTTTTATTATTACTTTAGAGTATAGTCTTACCTATTAAAAAAGAAACATGTTTACCATCTCTGAATTACACAGTGTTCTCTTGTGCTTGATATACTCTTGTGTCGTTTCATTTATCCTGAACTTTCCAGTGTTTATGTGGAGGTAGAAGACAGTGATACTGATGACTCTGCCCATTATAGACCTATGCTAATGTGTGTGAGTGTGCTTGAGTTTTTAATGAAAAAGTTTCAAAAGTTTTTAAAAATTAAATGAAAAAACTTCTGGAATAAGGATATAAACAAAAAATATTTTTGTAAAACTGTCCAATTTTTTAAGCTATGTGTTTTTACCTTTTTTTTTGTTTTTGAGAGATTTTTGCTATAAGGCGTGTGCACTCGCCAGAAAGAGAAACAGAAGATGAGAAATCACCCCCCAGGGGGAGTGGCCACACCAGAATCCCTTCTCCTCCCTTCTCTCCTCTCCGGATCTTGGGCATGCACGCACATGCACCTGGCGTGAGTTTAAGTCACCAGGTCCGATGCTCAAACTGCAGTCAGTTACATGGGAGTCCAGCGATGTAGCCATTGTGCCAACTGCTGGTCCCTAAGCTATGTGTTTTTATAAGAGTTTGAAAGTCAAACAAGTTAAAAGTTTATGAAGTTAAGTTACAGCATGCTAAAGTTAATTTATAATTAAAGAAAAATGTTTTTCTTATAAATGGAATATGGCCTAAGTGTTTGTAAAGTCTGCAGTGTACCTAAGCCTAAGAGACGTGAGCCTTCACATTCTTTCACCATTCACTCACTCACTCACCTAGAGCAACTTCCAGTCCTATGAGCTCCATTCACGGTAAATGCGCTATGGGAGTGTACAAGTTTTTATATCTTACACTCTATTTTGACTGTACCTTTTCTATGTTTAGAAACAGATACCATTCTGTTACAGTTCTATACAGTATTCATTACCGTAACAGGCTGTGCAGGTTTGTAGCTGAGGAGCAATGGGCTATACCATAAACAAAAAAACCTAGGTACACAGTTGACTGTACCACATGGTTTACATAAATACACATAAGTACACTTAATGATGTTTGTGATGGGTAGACTGATGGTCACGCAAGGATGAAAGCACTTAGGTACACATTTCTCAGAATGTAGCCCATCATAAAGGGACTCACAGTTATACTGATTTCCTCCAGATCTTGTTAAACACTGTTTATGGATTTGTCTTTCTAAAGCACAGCTCTGCTTATCATCTGAAACCTTTCATTACATATTTTTCTACATCAGAAAATTCAAACCCCTACTCTAGTATGCTTTTTTTTAATATGTTTTTTTTTCCCCATGAGAGAGAAAAAGAGAGAGAAAGGAGGGCTAAGAGAGAGAGGAGAGGGGGCACTCCAACAGGATCGTCATACCACAGTCCACCGCAGTCTCAGCCCACCTAGATCACAGGCATGCACACATGTGCTTGGTGTGCTCAGGGAGGTCCCAAATGTGAACCCAGGACCTCTCTCATACGGGTCCAGTCTTGTTACCACTGCACTGGCCCCTACTCTTAGTATATATTTCAACTTGATTTTCTACCACTTTACTTCATCTCTAGCTACTAAAACTGAACATTTTCTCATCATGTATTCATCAACTTTTGCCTTTACTCATGTTTTTCCTGAAATATTTCCCTCATCTCTGCTTACCTGAGACATAGCTCCTCTAACAGACCTTTGCAAGTGAGCATTTGTTCAGTTTAAGTCAATGATAAAATCTTTGCCTTCTTGAAATTTGACCTTTTACTCCTAGCTCCTTTTGTTGGGACTGCATATAAAGTTTAATCCAGAGGTTACAAATTTATGTCTAAAGAGACCAGGCAAATATTGTGCAGGTGTCAGAAAAGAATGGGATTGGCACAATGCTGTCCCACAAAGGGAATTCAGTTTTTTGGGGTCCCCCCTAGTACTGTGCAGGCCAAATAAAACAGTATAATTCAGGTAATGATAATGTACAATCTTTGTAATAATCTCTTTTCTCCTCACAAAATCATGGCCACATTTCAGAAAATACTTATTAAGTAACTTTACCTTTCAAAAATTTTTTTTCCATCTCAAAGTATTTGGGTTTGTTTCTGTTTAGGTTAACTTTATTCAGATATATATTGAATTGTTTATAGTAATACTTAACATCAAGATTTGGGATTATTGGGGCCAGAAGGTGGCATGGTGGTTAAAGGTATGGGACTCCCACATGGCTGAGTATGGTTCAAGTCTTGGACCTGGTGGCTTGCTTTCTCACTTTACCTCTCTCTTGCTTTGTCTATCTCTCTGATCAAATTGGAAAACAATATTAATAAAGGTGAATAAAATAATTCTTCTAAATAAAGAATTCTTTAAATAAAAAAGATTTGGAATTATTAATTTAAGAAAACCTACAATATGCTATGCATTGTACTTACTATTGTAGCGAACACATGATTAAATTTAATTATGTTTGTTATTTTAGGATATAAATGGTTTTGCAGTTCAAAAACAAAACCGTTGCTGGCTCCTGGTCACACACAAACCTTGTGTAAAAGACGATGTGGTAAGTTTTTATATAAATTTATAAATAAAATTTTAAATTCAGTTACTGTAAATACATATGACAAAATAGAAAATTCAAGGTGATTTATGTGCATAATTATAATGACTGAAGCTTATAAAGTCTAGAGAGCTTCCATTACCATGGCTTTTCAGGTTGTAGGAAATAGAACTATAAAAAGTATAAATCTGTATGAGAGCATTATTTACTGCCGCTTAACAAAACATGTCCTCTTGGACATAGCAAAAAGTTCTTGAGCGTTGGACACATATTAGATCCAAATTTTGAATTTCAGTTCAGCCATTTGATAGCTCTGTAACGTGGAACAAATTATAGGACGAGAAGGGGATTAGCACTATCTGTGCATTACCAGCTCCAAGTAAAAAATTATGCATTACTTACCTGGATTGCTTCTTGAAAATCTTAATATATGTGCTGGGTTATTTAGTGTCGTAAGTAAAAGTATTTAGATGAGTTCAAGTTTGTATTAGACAAGCACTTTTCATTTCCAGCAAATTCATAGTCTAATTCTGTCTTCACCAAAAAAAAGGTCATTTATTTAACTGGAAAGGGCAAGGGTGGAGCTACAATCGGGGATTACTGGTTTGAGTAGCAGTTTGTAGTTCGGTGGTTTAAAATATGGTCTGCAGGGTGCTCACTCCAGCTTTGTCTGTGAGTACTGGTTCTCTGCATCTTTTCTCTTCCCCTGTCCTGCTGCAAATGATCTTTGTGGCAGAAATGGAAGCTGCAAGCAGTTCCAACTGAAAGGATTCTTTTTCCTGACATTCATGTTTCAGTCCCAGAGCATGACTCTGAGTCGTCCTGTATGGATTACATGTTTTCCTCCTTAGATCAGTTATTTTTGCTAGTGGAGTGGAATAATGTCCTTGATCAAAAACAGGCACTGGGAGCCTCTGAGATAATACAGAGAATAGCGCATAACAGTGTTGTGACTGATAGTTCCACCAGAATCGAAGAGTGTAAAGGAGGGGAAATGCTTAAGGACACTAGGCAGACAGAAATAATAACTGTCTTAACATAAATTCTAGCTCAGACATAAACTGATGTTTAACGAGGTGGTCATACTGTGCCTCAGTATAGACTATAACATGAATACAGCTGAAGTCAAAAAACAGGTGAGTGCCACCTGGGAAGAAACCAGTGCATGACTCAGGGTGACTAAGATTAGACAGTGCACACACGAGGCTCAAGTGGTTTACTTACAGCAGGAGGAGAGAGACAGAACATAAGATCCCACCCCTTGCAGTATGTCAGTCTCCGTGCCTAGCAGTTCTCTTCCACAGCTAACTCAGACATCGTGGCTGCGCACATTCCAATTTATTCTCTTGTTGAAGGAACTCAACCTTTGCTCCGTGGGGTCTGAAATATAGAAAGCTAGGGATATTACCTAAGGCTGGTGATACACACATAGTTAAGTGATTCCAAGGAAAGTTTACATACCCAGTAAGGAGGGAAGAGGAATATCCTGGCTCTGTGCTGAGCTCTTTGAATGCTGTGCACTATACAAGCTTCCCAGTACTTCTGGTGAGACCGGTGCTCAATACAGAAGGCGTCCTGCACATGCATAAGGTTCTTAGGAACACAGGAGAGGCAGCAGGCTACCTTGAACCATCTCTCACATTACGTATGTCTCGTACAAAAAGAATTTAAACAGCCATCCTAGCATAGTTTAAGAGAAAAAGCAAATAAATAAGTTTTGGGTGAAAGAAGACCAAGAAAGCAAAGGGGAGAGTCACTACAGAAGTGTGCTGAGAGAGTCTGAAAGTTTCTAGGAAAAAATGAAGTATGAAGTGGGGGATCAGCAAGGAGCAGGATCATGTAGCTGTATCTGATACTGTCATTTATCGCCCATTTAGATCCTAGCTCTGAAGAAGGCAAACGGTGATGCTGTTTTGAAATTTGAACCATTTGTTCTTCATGTGCAATGTCGACAGTTGCAGGATGCACAAATTCTGGTAAAATTCTGTGATTAAATAGGAACTTATAAGTGTGTGGGTAGATTTAATTTTAAGCCTTAAGTCTCCTATAAAATAAATGAATGCAATATTTGTTTGTCAAACTAGTTATTTAGTTATATCTCTGATCTATTTATTTTTAATAATAGAAAAAAGTAAGTGCCTAATATTTATTAGCAAAATATAACATTCAGATTGTGTCTCCTGTTTTCTTCCTTAAATATTCATAGAGGGAAGTTCAGAAAGTTCCCAGAAAAATGAAATTAAGATAACTTTATTTAGGGGACCAGCAGTTAGGGTAATGGCTATGTCGCTGAACTCCTATGTAGTCCACCGTGGTTCTAATCCTGGACCCGGGGGCTTATACTCACCCCGGGAGTGTGTGCGTGTATGCCCAAGATCCCGAGAGGAGAATGGAGGAGAAGGGATTGCAGCCTGGCCATCCCCCCGGGGGGAGTGATTTCTCACTTTCTGTCTCTCTGTCTCTCTGGCGAGTGCACGTGCCCTATAGCAAAATCCTCTCCAAAAAAAAGAGATAAGTTTATTTAGGTGTAAAAAATTTTTGAAATCTGTGTCCACGTTTTCACAGTATGCATTTTCCCTGAACTTTTGGCATATTCATTATATTTATAAATTTTATTTCAACATTGTATGTTTTTGTTTTCCTTGCTGAGCTTTTAGGAAAAAAAATACCATGGAACTATGAGTAAAATTAAATGTTATAGAGAATGTTTTATTTTTCTCATTTTAAGTGAGTGTTGGGTAAACATCTGTTTAGTTCTACTTGTTGATTCCGTTTTATCTCCCTGGTCATTTTTATAACTATTGTATGTTTATGTATACAATTGTATTGTAAGCATTCATTCAACAAAAATACATTAAATCTCAAAGTATCAGGCACTAGGGGTATAGTGATAAAGAAGATGAAAGATTGTCTTGGTTTCTTCTTCAAGGCTGGTAGACAGCAAAAACAAACCAGAGAACAGGCAGCTACAGAAAATAACTACAAGTTGCAAAATAATCTAGTAAAGAAAAAAAAAAAAAACAAGCTGACAATAGTGAATAGTGCAAAGGGCAACCTACTTTTTTTTTCTTTTTTCTTTTTTTTTGAGAGGTTTTTGCTATAGGACACGTGCTCTCACCAGACAGAGAGAGACATAGAGACAGAAAGCGAGAAATCACCTCCCAGGGGGGATGGTCACGCCACACTCCCTTCTCCTCCATTCTCCTCTTGGGATCTTGGGCACGCATGCACGCGCGCCGGGCGTGAGTTTTAAGCCACCAGGTCCAGGATGCGACCCGCGGTCGACTATGTGGGAGTCCAGTGACATAGCCATTACACTAACTGCTGGTTCCCAAGGGCAACCTACTTTAGGACAGGCTTTTCTGAAGAGATTTCTTTAAGTTTAGATTTACACGAACAGAAAGAGCTGGGCATGCATCTAGGGGAAATGAACATTATAGGCAGATGGAAAGTGATATATGAAGTTTCTAAAGCAAGAAAGAGCTTGATGTGTTCATGGAGTAGAAAGAACAATAGGTCTAAAGGGGAGAGTGGAAAGAGAGAAGTTGGGAGAGGGAGGCTATTTAGGACTTTATTGATGAGACTCAAGAGTTTGGATTGCTTTCTGGGTACAAGGAAGAGTTGTTGAAAGCATAATGATAAACAAGGATTTGAGCAAGGGGTGACTTGGTCAGGTTTGAGTTCTGCTGCAGCATAGGGAAAGGACTGCTGTATGAAGATCCTCTAGGTCTCAGTGGTCTGGTGGGATGAGGCTGTAGGTAAAAAAGGGGAGAGGGTGTTGGATTTAAAATATATTTTAGTGTTCAAATCAACAGCCTAGGAAAGACAGCCTGAGGGAGGTGGGGGAAAGGAATCCAGGATAACCCTTAGGTCTGGCCTTAGCATTTGCGTGTGTGCTAGTGTCTTTTTTTTTTTGGAGAGATTTTCACTGTAGGGCGCGTGCGCTCACCAGACAGACAGAGAGAGACATAGAGACAGAAAGCGAGAAATCACCCCCCAGGGGGGATGGTCCCGCCACAATCCCTTCTCCTCCATTCTCCTCTCGGGATCTTGGGCACGCACGCACACGCGCCCAGCGTGAGTTTTAAGCCATCGGGTCCGGGACACAAACCGCGGTCGACTACGTGGGAGTCCAGCAACATAGCCATTACACTAACTGCTGGTTCCCTGTGCTAGTGTCTTTTAAACAGATGGGGAGTGCTGGAAATTGAGGGAGTGGGAATCAAGGATCTGAGTCATGTTAAATGTGACTTGTCTAAATAAGCACCTGTTTTTGTCTTCTTGAGATGCCATAATGAAATAAACTGGATTGTTTAAACAACAGAAATTCATTTTCTCACAGTTTGGGGGCTAGAGGCTGGAAATCCAAGGTAAAGGTGCCAACTGGGTTGGCTTCTCTCTTCCCAGGCCCCTCCTTGGCTTGTAGATGCCTGCCTTCTCCCCATCTCATCGCAAGGCCTTCTCTCTGTGCATCACATCACTGGTATTTCTTTCTCTTATGAGGACACCAGACCTATTGGACTAGAGTCTCACTCCTATGACCTCATTTAACCTTAATTGCTACATTAAAGGCTTATCTCCAAATACTGTCACAATAGGAATTGTGGTGTCAACATAGGAATTTTGAAACCCTATAGACATGATTCAGTCTGTAACCACTCTTAAATGAGAGTTTAAAATAGCCATTTGAGTAGCAGTTGGAATATGGTAGCCCTCTGCCCTAAAGATCTTATTAGATACATATTCACCAATACACAACTAATATGTAAAGCCATGAGCCTGGATAAAATCACCTATGGGGAAATTACATAAGTAAAAGAGAAGGGGGCCTGAGGAACAGGAGCATCTGGAGGGACTATAAAACAGTGTTTCAGAATACAGCAGGTCGCAGCTTCAATACCTGCTCCACTCCTGAAGTTTGATTTAATTTTATTTTAGTCTTTTTTAGATTAGACCACATCACCGATGCTTCTCATCTTTAACTGTCCCTTTTCTCTATATATTTCCTGAGTTTTGATCCTGAGTCGGCTCAGCCATGTTCTTCTTCTGAGCCAAAGTCTCTGTGGGAGCAAATTACAGTGGAATTAGAAGAACTGAGCAATTCACTTATTTATGACCTTTTTTTTTTTTTTCTTTTCACACACACAGCATTCTACCAGGTAATCTACTAAGAGTTAGGGAAAGGTAGAAAAAGACAGATGGTATCCTTCCCCTAAAGAGCTAAAATAAAATGTGCTTTGTAGGGGAGGGAGGCAGACAATGAGTAGATGTCTCATGTGCCTAATGCTGTGAAGGAGATGATGAGCCTGGAACTCGGCCAGAGAGTGAGAGGAGGGTGCACTTTAAGGAGGGTAGTTAGGGGATGGGACAGTGGCACACCTGTAAGACTGACCCAGATAGAAAAGTTGTTGGTTTGTGTCTGGAGGTCTTTCTGAGTAAGACAGGTACACATGTGCCTCTGATTCTGGCTGGCTGAAACTGGGACTGGGTTGTAGCCCTCTTTGGGGGCTGAATTTCTGTCTGTTTTTCTCTCTTTCTCACTCTTGGAAGAAATAAACTTTCAAAAAAGGAGAATGTGGATAGAGGAGGCCTTTTTTGAGGAGATAGTATTGACTATAAGCAAGATGAGCAATGCAAACCAACCAAAGAAAGAGTAGTCTAGGCAGAGGCACAGCAGAAGTTAAGAGGTCTGTGTAGGAAAGGGTTTGGAGTTCCTGAGAACAGAAAGGAAGCCGGCTGAAGTTGGAGAAGAAGGCAGAGGTTAGGTCAAAGAGAACATAAACCATGGCTCAAAGTTTGAAATCTGTCTGTGGTTAGTCTGTAAGAATGGTTTGGGGAGGGCAAGAGTAAGAGCAGAGACTAATGGGGAGACTTCTGCAGAAGTCAAGGAGAGAGGGGATGCAGACTTGAACTTAAGTAGGCAGTGGGTAGGGAGAGAGCAGGATGAATCTGAGGTGTGCTTTAGTGCACTTGCAAATCAGTAGGAGTTGGGAATAGGGGATGACAGAATATAAAGCATCATGGCTGACAAGGTTGGAGCTTATATACTGAGACTAGAAAGACTGGAAATGAGAGGAGTAGATTCATACAAGATAGAACTAGTTTCAGGGTAGAGATCTGAACTGGAAGTGGGATTCATCAGCATTTAAAACCAGGGAACTGGACAAATCTCAAAAGGAAAGCATGTACTTAGAAAAAGGTTTCTTAACCTCAGCACTGTTGATATTTTAGGCCAAATGGTTCTTTGTCCTGGGCTGTCCTTTGCACTCTGGAATATTTAAGCAACATTCCTGGCCTCTACCGTACTACATGCTGGTGGTATCCTCCCCCCTCCCAATTGTGACAACTATTATATACATGTCTTCAGACGTTGCCAAATGTCCCCTGTGGCACAAAAGTCACTCCTGATTAAGAACTCAGCTAGAGGGAACCAGCAGTTAGCATAATGGCTATGTCATTGGACTCCCACGTAGTCGACCGTGGTTTGCATCCCGGACTCGGTGGCTTAAAACTCACGCCGGGCACGTGTGTGTGAGTGCCCAAGATCCCGAGAGGAGAATGGAGGAGAAGGGATTGTGGCGTGACCATCCCCCCCTGGGGGGGGGTGATTTCTCACTTTCTGTCTCTCTGTCTCTCTCTGTCTGTCTGGCGAGTGCACGTGCCCTATAGCGAAAACCTCTCCAAAAAAATAAAAATAAATAAAAATAAATAAATTTTTAAAAGAACTTAGCTAGAGAAAAGAAGGGACCCATGTCTGATTCCCAGGGCTCTCTGACATTTAGATTTTAATAAAATAACATACAAAGTCATCCAATAAGATTAGAAATTTTGTGCTTTATATGCTTTTCTCAGATTATTTCAACTATTTTTTTAGTGATAGAAAGTGCACTGAGGTAGTATCTGTTCTAAGAGAAAACATTTTACTTGTTTAAAAGAGATTTCGTTTGCTTTGTTTACTTTTATATAATATAATTATAGGAATGATTGGGGTTTTGGTCATTTTGTGCTTTGTAGAAATAACTACTAGCTAGATGTTTCTGTGTTTTATTGAATTCTAGTTTTACTCTTTCTCAATGATACTTCCAAAGTTGATATTCCAGTATTTCTACTAGAAATTTGATCGGTCACTTTTAAGCAGAGTTTGTATTGGATAGCCAAAAAAAAAAAACCTAATAAATTTTGGAGTTATATTTGTTTGCATAGTTTGCAGAGCTAAAGATATGATCTGATTAGAGTATCAGAATTGAACGAGTTCTGTTTTCTTACAGCATTCAGTGGCAATAGATTCTGGTTTCAGGAACTCTGGCATAACAGTAGGAAAGAGAGGCAAGACTATGTTGGTAAGATACCTTTTGGTAAAAGCAATTTTTTTTTATGAATTTTTTTTAATTTAACTTTATTTATTTATTTAAATTTGACCAGAGAGGGACAGAGTGAAAGAGAGACAGGAGAGACAGAGGGAAAGTGAGAAAGCAAACCATCAGATCCAGGACTCTAAAGACAGCCAGCCATGTAGGAGGTCAGCGCCCTTCACCATGCCACCTGCCGGCCCCTTGCCAAAAGCAATTCTTTGAGTGTGAAATGTTCCAGATTGCTAAATAACCTAATTAGACTTCCAGTTAGACACCTGTCTTTAGTGACTTTCTACTCAAATCTCCCTACCATTCTCTTGCTCAGAAATCTTTAACAACTTATTCCTTCTTGCAAGCCAAAGTCCAGAGCTTAGATTTACATTTGAGGTCTTGTATTATAATATTGTTCTCCACTTGCTTTTAGCTGAATCCTTGATTCTATCTCTCATGTCCTACATGGTCAAGGGTCAGCTTAATTAGAACAATGACATAGCGGAGTCAAAGACATGAAGTCTACAGACTTCTATACTCTATGAGCTTCCACTACAACCATTTGGTTAAATTATTGTCTAAGGCAGCTTTTGTGCTACAGTGGCAAAATTGAATAGTTCTGACATGTTATATGGCTTGCAAAGTCAAAAATATTTACAGTTTTTTAACAGAAAAATGTTTGCTGACTCTTGGTCTAGATGATCTTTAAGGTCCCTTCTAAGTTCCATATTCTTTTTAAGTCCTTTACTGGCCAACTTAATATCAAATCATTTTGCCCTCTCCTGATCTGTGGTATTTATTTGTTAGCATGGAATGTACTGTTTGTTTTAAGCGATTGCAGATTGCTCTCCTTTCTAGCTCCCTCAATTCTCCTATTTTCAACAAATAGCCTATTTCCTAAATAGAGGTGGCTTACAAAAGAAGACACTCATAAACCATGACTAAATAGAAAATCAATGCCCACAGTATGGTTTACATCTATCTTCATCTCACATCTCACTGCCTCTGGTGGTTCAAGTGATAGCAGAGCTGTCTGTTCACCTTCCCCTGTGTCTTCCTTATTCAGTTAGTTACAGGTCCTGTCATTTCTACCTCTCTTTCCTCACATCCGACCACACTGCAGACTGTGCCACTACCTAGTCAGCCCTCTTCATCCCTCACCTCAGCTTTTACAGTTGTGATTGGTCTTCCCTACTAAAGGTCTTCTCCTTCAGTGCCTCTAATCAACACTGTCCAGATTCCCTTTTTAGTAAAATCAGGGTCTCCTGATGTTTTTAAGCCTTTTTCAGATGTTTTCTTCTGCTTATTTATGCTGGTCTCCGGCTAGCACACTGATCCTGCAGCCATACGTCACTGCTACTTATTTCTCAAAGGTATAGAGCTCTTTCATATCTTTGTGCCTACAATAAGTTGTGCCACTAGATGGAATGCGTGCCTCTCTGTTTTCATGTCTGGTGAAATTATACTTCTTTTACATCTCAATTCAAATGGTGCCTTTCTTTTAAAGCTGAGTCATCAGAATCAAGTCGTTGTGCCTCTTCCACATTCCTTCTGCATTGTATGTGTACATATATATGCCTCTACATGCAAGTGTGTTTCTTTTGTCATAGCGCCTATGTTGTATTGTAGTTCTTTGTTCACCAGTTAATCTTCTGTTCTGAGTGTGGGCTTTCAAGCCAGGGACCATGTTACGTTCATTCTGTATCTTCACACTGTCCAAGTAGCCTAGAGTATTGTCGATGCTAAATAAAGAGTCATTGAATGAATTTTTATTTCTCATAATTGTTTTTATGGAGTCTTTGTTGTTGTCTTAACCTATATCTAGTATTTGGATGTACTTGAAGCATTTTACTGTTTCATCAACAGGATTACTAAGATTGGCAACCCTAAAACATTCAGAAGCCAGCCACTTTGTCTGAAAGAGGAGGCGTTGTTTAGTCTTGAACCACATTCTGTTCATGCAGCACTGAGAGACTCTGGCATCCAGTCCTTTTCTGTTTCCTCTTGAGGCATCTTTTAAAGTTTCACTTATTGATTTTCTTTAAATTATATATTAAAGCTTCCTAAGCTAGAGTGAGATTGAAACTGTTAAAAGTTATTGGATTCTCTGATATTATTCCTTCTCTGAAAGATGATGTATAGAATACTTTTCTTTAGGAATGACTTTATCTGATGGGAAAATCTTTTTAATCTCCTTTGATTCAATCATGTTCAGCTAAATTATATCAAAGCATAAAGTTAATGGAAGTAAACTATGTTTCATACACAGCTCTCACTGAGACTGTTGTTTAGGTATCGTCAGTGTCTCCAGTGTATAAGTCCTCATATCTAAATTGTTTTTTCTTGTAGGCTGTTCGGAGTACACATGGCTTGGAAGTTCCATTAAGCCATAAGGGAAAACTGATGGTGACAGAGGAATATATTGAATTCTTGTTAAATATAGCAAATCAAAAAATGGAAGAAAACAAGAAGAGAATTGAAAGGTACATTAATTGGATATTTTCATGTTATTCTTATATGTCCGGGTTATCCTTGACAATGTTAATACATACTATCTTTAGTTTATAATCCCAACTATGTATCTACTTGTAGCCTTATCATAGATAACTGTAAGGTGATCAGAGAAAGAGTTGAGAGTAGGCCATACTGTGGGGGCACTAAATGAAGCATAAAGAGGGTGATGGGCATTAGGGTAAAAAACAACATCATTTGAGTAAGAGAACCTAGTAGCTGTGAGGACCATGACTGATCAAATCGAAGGCAGCCAGGGAAGAGATGCAACCAGGGAAGAGATGCACACTGTCTCTGGGCATGATCTATCAGTGATTACCTGGAATCTCTTCTGAGGGGAACAGCCGGTTAATTTTATTCTGATAAATATTTTACACCTCTGGCTAGTTCAGTATCTTCTTGTTGTCATAGATTAGATCCAGAATTGCCATAGTTGTCCAAGTAAGGAGGATTATGGCTCTCAGTTCACATCTTTATACTTCTCTTGTTCTTCCTCTTTACTTCCTGATAAATGAAATACTTATATTATTTTCTTTTTCAATTTTTCCTTAAGAATGGAGTTTTTTATATAAAGAAGTAAATATGCTGCCTTTCATATATGAAGATACTGCCATTGACCTACTATCGATAAGATGAATGTTTTAGAGTTACCCAAAGAGTGATGGTCAATTTGATATCGTTCATAATTCCCTTTATTCCTTTTCCCCATGCCCTTAGAAGTCTCACAGTCAGTCATTTGCTGCCTAAATAGCTCTTCATTTTTCTCTCCATCTCTACTGAGAATTTGTTTTTTAAGATCACTGCAATGGCCTTAGTAGCTGGTTTCATAGTAAAATACTTCTACTATCTCTCTCTGCTAAGCCATTCTCCATATCATCATCAGAGTCATGCTTATAAAATACAAAGTAACCCTGTTGCTTACCTTGCCTGCTTAAGATTCTTTAATATGTACAACTTCTTTTTCTGAAACAGCTAATGCTAGAGTGCCACTGGTAGCATAGCATGATGGAGAGAAGTAGAAATAAATCCAAAAGCAGCCCTGGGTTCAAATCTTGGTGCTACCACTTCTCTCCTGGTACTTAAGTCTCTGCACTTCATTTTTCATATCTAACTTGAGGGGAATAAAATAATAATTATTAGTATTCATTAGACACATATATGTAATGATTGGCCCTGGTATTCATTAGATAGTATATGTATAATGATTGACCCTGCCCTATCTTCTCATGGACTCTCGGGATAGAGAGTCGTACTTTTTCATTGACTCATGAAGGATAAACCTATAACCACATTAGTACAACCATCCAGACTTTTTTTTTTTAGAATCATTTATTTATTTATTTCCATTTGTTATTGTTATTTTTTTCTTTATGTGATGAGAGAAAGAGAGAGAAAGGGAAAGTGAGAAAGCAAGCCACCAAGTCCAGAACTTGAACCATGGTTGGCCATGTGGGAATCTAGCGCCCTTATCCACCACACCACCTTCTGGCCCCCATCCAGACTTTCTTAATCATGGTTTGTCATTTGAGCCATAAATGACACAAAATTATTGTATTTTTGTGAATTTGAGAATTCATAAAATTATCGACGTGACTATTTTCTCAGTTCCCCCAAGGATGATATATAACTCATACCATCTTAGATATATTGGAGAGAAGTTCATTCATTATATACAGTGGATATTTTATTGCACTAGAGCTTAATTTTCTAGCTACACACTGGTTAAGAAAATTTGATGGGACCAGCAGTTGGCGTAATGGCTATGCCGCTGGACTCCCATGTAGTTAACCACAGTTCAAGACCTGGACCTGGTGGCTTAAACTCATGCCAGGCGCGTGTGCATGCGTGCCCAGGGTCCCAAGAGGAGAATGGAAGAGAAGAGATTGTGGCGTGGCCATGCCCCACTGAGGTGGGTGTATTCTCACTTTCTGTCTCTCTGTCTGTCTCTGTCTTTCTGGCAAGTGCACGCACCCGATAGCAAAAACCTCTCAAAAATAAAAAAGGAAGAAGAAAACTTGACCACAAATGCTTATTTTTGAATAAGCGTTCTTGAGGATTTACCCAGAAGGCAATGCTTCGCTCTTGGGTCAAAATGGCGAGCAGGCCAGCCATTTCAGCCTCAGGTCAGTGGCTGAATGATATTCAAAAATGGTATTATAATGCTGCAGTATTCAATAAACTGGGTTTAATGCGAGATGTGATATATGAGAATGAAAATGTGAAGGAAGCTATAAGAAGACTTCCTGAGAACCTTTATAATGACAGGATGTTTCGCATTAAGAGAACACTGGACCTGGCTGTGAGGCAGCAGATCGTGCCTAAAGAGCAATGGACAAAATACAAGGAGGATAATTTCTACCTTGAGCCGTATCTGAAAGAGGTTATTCGGGAAAGAGAAGAGAGAAGAGTGGGCAAAGAAGTAACTAGGTTGCAATCGTGGATGCGGTTGTCCTTAAAGTATTTTTATGAAGTTGGGGTTGAACCTGAAAACTTTAATTTAAAAATAATTTGGTCTGCAGGTGTATTACTTTAAATAATTATCTATTGTAAAAATAAATAAATAAATAAGCATTCTAACTAAAGTAATGATTTCAGATAAGCAAATTAAGAGCTCCCAGCCTCTCCACCAGACTGCAGAGTTTTAACTATATATAGATGCTCTTTGATGCCATTCCTAAAGTTTACTACATGAGTTACGTAGTAGTCTGGTGAGACTGTTTGCTAAAACACAGGAGGTAGCAAATCAGTTTTCTCTGTTTCCTTACTTGAATTTCAACAAGATTATAAATATAGCCCAAGATCAACTAACTACACCTGGTGAAGTTAATTGAGCCACGTTCACCAACTGTAATATCAAATTATGCTTTAAATCCATTGACTCAAAAATACATTTTGAGATTATAGTGTGCATACAGCTATCAAGAAAGTAATGCTCATCATATAAAAATCAGAAAAAAATTAAAGAAGGGTAAAAAGTGTCTTAAGATACTGATTAGAAGATTACATGTGAATTCAGAAAGTATGAACAAATTAGGGAGCTCCTTTGGGAACAGCTATGCATTCAACCAAATGCAGAGAAAAAGTTACCCTTCTGAAGTTGAAAAGAGAGAAAAATAATAAACATTGGAGGTGATGAGTCCTATAATCAGACATTGAGTTCCAGAATTGGTTTATCATAATACCAAAGTTTCATAATTCAAATATCTATAAAAGGATTTTTAAAACTCTGAATCCCAGGACCAGCAGTTAATGTAATGGCTATGTTGCTGAACTCCCATGAGGCTGACCATGGTTCGAGTCCCAGACCTGGTGGCTTAAACTCATGCTGGGCGTGTGCGTGTGTCCATGCCCAAGATCCTGAGAAGAGAATGGAGAAGTGATTGTGGCTTGGCCATCCCCCCTAGGGGGTGATTTCTCACTTTCTGTCTCTCTGTCTCTCTCTCTCTTTCTGGCGAGTCCACACACCCTATAGCAAAAAATCTCTCCAAAAAAAAGAAAACAAAAAACAAAACTATCTGAATCCCAATTTCAGCAAAAAGAAGTATTTTAGAAACATGAAAATCAAAGTTAAGAGGTAAAATATATAATTTCTAGGTGAGAAATAAAAAGTTTGGAGATGTAAAAGGAAGGCTTTCTTTGTAACTATCAGTAAGAGATCAGGACATGGGTCAGATAAAGTAATTGAATCCTCACAGTGGTTAATTTTTTAAAAAACTTGGGTGGTAAAAGATACACAGTATGAAATTTACCATACTAACCAGTGGCATTAAATCCATTTACATTGTTGTACAACCAGTGTCCCTCTCTAGAACTCTATCATCTCAAACTGAAATTATGTACTCATTAAAAAATAACTTCGTATGGGGTCAGCAGGTGGCATGGTGGTTGAGGGTGCTGGATTCCCATCACAGTTGAAGTCCCGAACCTGGTGGCTTGCTTTCTCACTTTCGCTCTTTCTTTCTCTTTTTGTCCCTCTCTGGTCAAATTTAAATAAATAAATAAATAATGAATGAATGAATGAATGAATGAAATAATTTTTTTAAAAAGTAAATAACTTGCTGTTTCTTATGCTCCTAGTCACCTGGTAACCACTATTTTATTTCCTCTATGAATTTGACTATTACAATTATCTCATACAAGGTGGATCATACAATATTTGCCCTTTTGTATATAGTTTATTATGCTTAGCTAGTGACTTCAAGGTCCATTCATGTTGTATCATGTATCAGAATTTTATTTCTCTGTAAGGCTGAATAGTGCTCTGTTTTATTTATACCACATTTTCTTTTTATCCATTCATCTGTCGGTGGACATTTGGGTTGTTTCTGCCTTTTAGTATGGTGTACAAAAGTGAGTGTCCAAATATCTGTTTCAATCTTAGCTTTCAGTTCTTTTGGCTATATACCCAAAAGTGGAATTACTGGATTTTATGGTAATTCTGTGTTTAATTTGTTGAATAGCCACAATACTGTTTTCTACATTACTACACGATTTTACATTCCCATTAGCAATGAGAAATTGGAACCACATCTTTGCTGACACTTATTCTTTTCTGTTTTTTAGATATTAGTATTTTTATAAGTTTGAAGTTGTATCTCGTTGTAGTCTTGCTTTACATTTCCATGGTGACTTAGTGATATTCAGCATCTTTTTGTGTGCTTATTGACCATCTGTCTATCTTCTTTGGAAAATAGCTATTCAAGTCTTTGCCCACTTTTAGCTGAATTGTTTCTTGGTTGAGTTGTAGTAGTTCTTTATATATTCCAGATATTAATCCTTATCAGATGTATGATTTTCAGGTATTTTCCCCATTATGTCTGTTGTCTTTTCACTCTCTTGATACAATTCTTTGATGTACAAAAATTTTTAATTTTGTTAAAGTCCAACTTATATTTTTTCTTTTGTTTTCTGTGTTTTTGGTGTCATATCTAATAAATCATTGCCAAATCCAGTGTTATGAAACTTTTCCTTATGTTTTCTTCTAAGTGTTCTATAACATTAGTTCTTATGTTTAGGTCTTGAGCTGAATTCTGAGTTGACCAATGGTTGATTTTCAGTTCTAATAAGTAAATGACTGAGTTCAAGATTGATAGAAACCCTTTTTTTTTTGCTATTATTTCTGCCATAACTGCTTTCCAGGTTACATATGAACTCCATGCATAACCCTTTCCAGCTCTGTCTTCAGTCTCTCCCAGGTGACATACCTGGTTCTTGATAGCAAGGATGTCAGTTATTTCCACAGTAGCTTTAGTTTATCATACAAGCAATGGATTGCTTCTGCTTTCCACAAATATTTACACAGCGACTTATAAAATTTAGAGAACTCCTAGGCATTGGAATTCAAAGATGAATCAGACATGGATCCTACTGGGAAAGCTCTTTAGTAACTTAATTGGGAGTCCAGACAGGTTTAGATAAATAACTATAATTCAACACAGAAAGTGGCAAGTGCCCTAAGAAAGGTATAGAATGCTCTAGAGTTTCAAAAGAGGAAGCAGTTAAATTCATCTGTGCACAAGGAAAAACAACAACTCCTAGAAGTCAGTGAACTGGGCCTCAAATATAGACAGGATTTTTAGGGAGCCCTGGGGAAGAAGGGAATTACATGGTAGGTAGAAGGAACAGCAAGCAAGACCAAAAAGATAAAAAGGAGGTGGCAATGCTTAAGCTGTAAGTCCTTTTGGATCAGCAAATGGTTTGCTTTACCGAGAAGATAAAAGAATACAAATTTCTGCTCTATCACTGCTGCTTTCCTTCCTGCTTATGGTGCTCCTTCTTAGTGTCCTTGTAGATTTCTCTATTATATTCTGCATCTTCATTAAATTTTTTTCTATAAATTTATGTACCTGGTCTAAGACTTCAGCTACTTCCCCGTGATTTCTGGGCCCACATATCTAATATACTAATTAAAATATCCCACCAGCCTTTCCTTAATATGTTTTTCATCTTAGTTTGAACTCCATAGCCATTTTCATAATTCAGATTATTATCATCATTTACCAGTATCATTTCAGTTTATTCTTACTGCAGAAAGGAAGTATGTACCATATGGAATTACATTTATTTAAATTGTGCGTGTTTTTATTTTCCATTACGACATGGTCACATCCGAATAGGGTAATTCCTCTCTACCTCATATACATATACCCATGCATCACACACACACACACACACACACACACACAAAGTAATCTCTTATCCTAAAGCATAACACAGAATCTGGCTTATAATTAAAGCCCAATAAATGTGTATTGAATTAATCATGAAAGATAAAGGAACTTGAAAGTTAGCATATTGAGTTCCCAAAATGCAAAGACAAGTTTCTTATTCTTTATTATATCCTGAGTGTCTTGTATGAGAATAAAGATTAATAAATGTTTACTAAATTTTCTATAAATAGTGCTACTTTTAAGACTTCAAAACACTAGGATGGTTAATCTGGAAGATAATCACACAGTAAGAAAGCTTGGAGATGGGGTGAGCAGGAGAAAGGTCTAGCTACATAGTCTAGGTTAGGAACAGCAGAACCCTGAGTAAGAAGATAAATCGGAACGATGCTGCAGAATACCCACCAGACACTGCAGCATGCTGGAAATGGGGGAATACAGAAAAGGAGGAGTAAAGAACAGACATCTCAAGATTCTTCATAGTTGCTAGTCTTATAAAATAACTCAGCTAAATAAATAACTCACACATTCCCCTATATACTTAAGATCAAAGAAGTAAATAATATAAAGTGCACCTTTAATTTTCTGATACTTTCTTTTTGGGTATTTTCCTGCCCTCTATCCCCCATCCATTTTTTTCTCCTGGTAATTCCACTCTATCAAGTAGCCACCTTTCATCCATTCTTATAATTTAGCCCAAGCTGGATTGGGTCTTATTCCAAGAAGCATTTCATGATCTTGACTGGATGGAACACAGTGCCCCTAGCTCCTACATTATCTTTTTCATGGCAGGTTGAATGTGGTTTTCCAGTTCCGTAGCTCCCATTAAACCATGAGCACCATGAGGGCACAGACCTGGCATAGGCACAGTCACATACATGTTTTTAACAAGAATGCTAGAGCTTAATCACATATTTATATGTATGTGTGTGTGTGTGTTTGTGTGTGTGTGTGTATAAAATATGTATCAGAAATGTATCAGAATAGCCATCTCTGATACTTGTGAATGATGGAGGCATAATGAAAGTATGAAATTAGGCCTAGATTTATGTTATGTTGCTGTTTTAGACTCAAAGCAATTCTAGTTTGTTACCACAAATGGATTTTTAACCGACCTCGGAAGACAAGAATGCATTTTCTCATGACTGGCCTGAAAAGTCCTCTCTTACAGAGAACTAAGTACAAGTTGTCCTATGGCATGATACTCTTGACTGCAGACTATAAGAATGGAAGACAATTTGTTTTTTTTTCAAGGGGGGAAGAAAAATAGTTGCCTGAGCATACATTTTTTTTATACACTCACAGCTCCTTTTGTTACCTGTGAGAACTGAGAAAATTATACCCTGAAGATTGGATTTTAGAATGCTGTGTGAAGGGTCATAATATGAGGGGAGAAAATGTAATTGGAAAACAAATTTCTGACTTTTTGAGAAAGATAGTTTCTAAAAGGACTTTTAAACTTCTCTTAAAAGAAGAAAAGGAAAACTAGTATTTAAAGTTTTTTACTATTGACTTTCAGCAAAAAGAATCTTTTTCCCATTTTACCAATTTTCTTTTCTTTTTTTTTTTGGCACCTTTGAATTTTTAGGTTCTTTATTAGAAGATTAAAGTAAGGATTGTTTTTAATTACCTTTTTTAAAATGCAAGTGACAAGACATTTTATAAAAGCTGCTAATTCTCTGATTATAAAAGAGTAATTTAATCTTTTATTTTCTAGAGATAAGCATAATCCAGAGAAAAGATTTGGTTACCTAACCCTAAAGTGCAGGGTGGATGAAGAATGGTGAAGTTAGGTAGTACGTGAAGTTTTGGTATCATGGACAGCATCTTATGAGTAGAAAAAAGTAATCCATACCATCATGTGGTATGCTCAGGTTGATGTTTTAGATAAAGTAGAACATTCTATTAAGTCATTCTAAGGAAGCACGTTGGAAGATGAGAAGAAACTGGTTTTTTGTTTTGTTTTGTTTTGTTTTGTTTTTCTGGTTGGTGGTGTTTTGGTTTTTGTTATAGGGAGTGTGCACTCAACAGAGAGGGACAGTGAGAAAAAAAAATGAGAAATCATTCCCCAGGGAGGGATAACCAGGTCCCAGTCCCTTCTCCATTCACCTCCTGGGATCCTGGGCATGCATCCACACAAACCCAGTGTGATTTTCAAGCTGCTGGTTCCAGGACTCAAACTGCAGTCAGCCATATGGTAGTCCAGCACTTTAACCATTATGCTACCTGCTAGTCCTAGAATGACACTTGAAATTGCCTAAGATGATAAGACCTGGAAAGAAAGAACAGATCAAATGTAGAAGTTTTCATGAATATAACAGACTGTACAGAATTTCGGTAGATGACATGAGCAGAAGTGAAGGAACATAGTGCAGAGAAGTGTTGGTGACCCAACTGAATTTTGACTTCATCTCTCAACTCTGTGCTAGGCACCTTAAGGAAAGAGTAGTAGAACAGTTTCCACTTGAGAGAGAGAAGGGGAGATGCTTCCCTGGAAGGGGCAGGGACAGGTAAGGGAACGTGGTTAGTCAGATTTCAGGTAAATAAGGATAAAAAGTGTAAGCTTAATGAAAAGGTTATTATCATAGAACAAAGTCTAAAGAGCATGCTTTTTTTATGGTATTATTAATAATACTCAATATATGGGTAAACTAATCTTTTTCAAGTATTGCCTTTAGAAAGTTATTTTGTAGTTCATCTGATGATATGGAAAATATTGTTAATAAATACTAAATTTCAAAAGTTAATATAAAACTTCTCATATAATGTTCTGATTATATAATAAAATAGATATGTGTATATACAAATTTGTTCCTCAGAGTACATTAATAAATTGGAAAGGAAAATACTGAGAGTGGTTATTCCTAAGTAGTGTGTATAGGTAATCTATATTTATAACCTCAGAAACTTTTTCAAATTCTCTAGAATGAGTTTTTATTACATCTATGATTTTCTTATGAGAACAATCATTATTTCTGTTCGATCCCTACATCTGGTATGGAAATTAAAGTCGTCAAGAGGTGATTCCAAACCAGTTTTCAGGACTGTCCTTAAAGAGCTATAAACACTTTTCTTAATTAAATAATGGTAAAGACAAAAAAGCATAGTATTTCTTTTATCTTCCTAATGCTAATATGAGACATTGTCAAATTTACATAACTTATAAGTTCTAGGTGTATTTCAATCACTCGTTTTTTAAAAAAAGCAGATTTAACAATAGATTTATTTCTTTACAGGTTTTACAACTGCCTTCAACATGCTTTAGAAAGGGAAACTACTACTAACTCTCCTGTTAAGATCAAAGAGAAAAATAACCGACCATATACTCATAAGAAAAAAAGAAAGCCAGAAAAAGCTCATGGCGAGTGTATTAATGGAGAATATGATAAAGATCTTGAAAATGACGAAGATGACAATCCAGGAATCGGTGTTACTATCTTCCCCAAAGATTACTAAGATTTGGTTCTGAAGAGTTTTGTTAGATTATATAATGTTGCTAAGACATTTGCTGAAGCTGCTCTTTATAAGAGTATTTTAGTTTGTTGAGTGTGTCAGCCATTCAGAAAAGCAAGATTTAACTTCTCTGTTTTAGAGAAGCCCGTCTTATAAACATAGATGGCTTTTAAAAATAGCTTTGTGTAGTATTTGCTCATTAAATGCCACCTTTTTTAGTCACAGAGATTCATTGCAAAAAATAAAATTATGATTTTTAGTGCCTTTTTTGTTTCTGTTTCTACTTCTGTGAAACAAGACAAACAAGTATAATACCCTATTTAAAGTCCTTAACATCCGAGATACTTGATTAAAGGTCACAGTAACATTTTAATTATTTCTACATTTGAAACTGCCAGCCTTTAAAGTTTTTAGGGTCAGAGTTTGATTCTGTTGCATGGAGTTCAATGACAATTTTTTTCTTCCTTTTGATCTTGGAGGTAAAATAATCGATGCCCTTTCTGTTCAGGACGAAATACCTGAACTTTCTTTTCTCATTATTTCTCACAAATCAGAGCTTGCCACTGTCACCATTTCTTTGAAACACGTGGGCATCGTTTTTCACTAAGCCTGATTAGAATGAGAACTGACTCAGTCATCCTAATAGAACAGATGTGCGGCGAAAAACTGCAAAGATCAGAAGCCTTGGGTTTGTATTCTTACTGCCACTCAGAAGTTGGAGATATCTGAGCAAATCACTTAATTTTCAAAGGCTTCCGTTTCTACTGCATTATAGCAGTACTAACAGTTCTAATGTACTCTGTTTACACCATAGGCATGTTGCCAGGATTGAGCTTAAAAATGTGAAAGCATTTACTAATAGGCTATTATGCATATATGGTACTATTTAATTTCATTATAAAATGAGGATTTTTTTTTTTTGTGGTTAATACCTTCAACTTTAAAATAAATACATTTTCCTTTCATTTCTTTGATAAATTCAATCACTATACATCACTTGGTTTGTAAAGTGAATTTTCCAGCATGAATATATTTCACACCAGTCCAGTTGGGGATATTTATACACATTATCATCAACAGATAATAATCCATTTCTGTGTCCCATAAATGTCTATTTTTCTCCTTAATGTCTTTCTTCACACTCTCCTCCTTCTTCCACTCTCTTACTACACTGTATCCAGTATCTATAACTATTTTCCATGTTTCTATATCCTCTATCAGTTTCAGCCATAGAGTGTGGACAGTTAGTATATATTAAGTGGAAATGATAATGTCTCTCCTTCATATCCTGGCTTGTTTCCCTCAGCAGTAAATCTTCCATATTTATCTACTTTCTATCAAAAGCCAGGGTCTTGTTTTTTTATGGTTGAGTAGTATTCCATAGAGTATATGTGCCACACTTTTTCAGTCCATTCTTCTGTTCATGGACATTTAGGTTGGTAAAAAAGATGCTTTTATACTATGCTTTCAAAATGTACCAAATCATTAAAATTACATATTAAAAGGGAAATTGCTAGAACTAATGTGTTATAAGATAAAAAATACCAGAATAGCAAATAAGAAACTAATATAGTAAATACTGAGTTGTGACTTTTGGCATTTCCTAATATTTTTATCATACAAGTCTTAACTTTATTTAAGTTACGTCTAGATTTGTACCCAATATGCTTGCCTCCTGATAAATAGCATTTTGTGCTCATTTGTAAAAAAAAAAGTTGTCTTCCTAGATGTCTATAGTCTTCAAAATGAATTTGTCTTCCTAGATGTCTATAGTCTTCAAAATAAAATCAGAGATGGTATCCAGTTAGCTCTAAAGTTACTGTTTGGTGTTTCTTTATTCCTTTCTCTATCATTTCTCTGAGCTACTCTTTTTGGCCTATAACATAAGATACCGATATTTACTGACCTAATTTCTATTCGTATTCTCACAGCATTTAGGAGTCTTCAAACCCAGTCCTCCATTTCAGTTGTTCCAAAAGAGCTTGCTTTGACTCCTCGGTCTCCTTCCTATCTACCTGGCAGCACTGGCTGTTGGCCACTCTCACATCCATGAATCTGCCTTTTCTCAGGCTTCCTGAATGCCATCTTCTGGGTCATTTCCCTGCTTAGAGCATATCTTCCTAGGCTCTCTCTCCATTCCTTTGGCTGTTTTCAACATTTTGTTGCCACTTAGAACCATCTTTAAAACTTTGAAAAAATATGGATAGCACCCAAAAATCTCCAGGGATGGACACTACGTATGTGTATTTAAAACAACAACAGGGGCCAGTAAGTGGTGTAGTGCTGAAGGTGCTGGATCCCACATAGTCAGCTCCATGGTTCGAGTCCCAGACAGTGTGTCTTGAAAAACATGCCAGGCATGTATGTGTATGTGCCCCAAATCCTGAGAGGAGAAGGGATTGTGCTATGGCCATCCCCTCTTAGGGTGTGGTTTCTCACTTTCCGTAGCTGTGTCTGGCAAGGGTACTCTATGGCAAAAATCTAATTAAAATAAACAGGGAACTCACCTCTGTTGCTCTTGAGATCCTGAGATCCCTGACCAGGCCACTTTTCTCTCTCCGCCTTTCAGCATCCTCATATTTGACTAATGTGTAATATTCATTGTTTTTCATTGTGCATAGTGAAATGAATAGGGAAAAGTATGTCTATTCCATTTTCTCAGAAACAAGTGTAACATTTTAAAATTACTGATAATAACAAATTGGAGTGTTGCTGAAGGCACCTCCCGAGCCCCATCCACCTTGTTGTAGTGCTGTGCTCCACCTCCCAGCTTGAGTGTTCTGCTCTTGCTGTGGGCTGCTGGAGCCTCTCCAGCCTAATGGAGAGAAGGAAAAGCTCACAATTCTGTTTTCCCACCACCACAGGTACACGTGCCATCTCATAACCAATAATGACAAGTGCAGAGCTTCCAAAGACAACTCTTTTGTCCAGGAATGGGATTAACTTGGATGTACAACTGCCACCCAAGGTCCCAGAAGGATTACATTGACACTGGGATTTCACTTGAAATCCTAACAAGTGGTCTCCAACTCACCACTTCTGGGACCATCTGCTCAATAAATCACTAGAACTGGAGTAGTGCAATCTTCTGCAAGAACCTGACTTAAGAGAGGTATTTAGATTATTTTTGATTATGTTTTTAATAGTGTTGGCATATAAATAACAGTTGGGATTTTAATTTTGGAGGTTAGCTAAAATATGGCAAATAGTATGAAATGAGTCAAGCTGCTCGAAGCCCAGTTGTGAAGTCCATACAGTCTAGTACAGAGGTAGACCAGTTCCTCTAAAATAAGGCAGTTTGTCAGAATGGCCCAGGCCAGAACAGGGCACACACAGGCTATTTTCCAAAACACCAACTCCTAGGCCCTACTCCAGATCTACAAAACCAGGATCTTCAGTCTGGAATCTAGATTTATTTATTTATTTATTTATTTATTTTTAAGGCTTTTGCAATAGAGCATATGTGCTTGCCCAAGACAGAGAGAGTGAGAAGTAAAGTGAGAAAATCCCCCCGGGGGATGACCACATGCAATCCCTTCTCCGTTCTCCTCCTGGGATTTTTGAGCACACACACGTGCCCAATGTGATTCTCAAGGCGCTGGGTCCCCAAACCAGGGTTGGCCTTGTGGGAGACCAGTGCTTTAACCACTATGACACCTGCTGGCCCTAGAAATCTTTATGATTCATCCAAGTGATTCTGTTAAAATCAGTCCAGCACTTTTAGAATCCACAAGTATTTGGGAACCAGCAGTTAGTGTAATGGCTATGTCGCTGGACTCTCACGTAGCTGACCGCAGTTCGTATCCCGGACCCGGTGGCTTAAAACTCACGCCAGGCGCGTGTGCGTGCGTGCCCAAGATCCCGAGAGGAGAATGGAGGAGAAGGGATTGCGACGTGACCATCCCCCCTGGGAGGTGATTTCTTGCTTTCTGTTTCTATGTCTCTGTCTGGTGAGCGCACACACCCTATAGCGAAAACCTCTCCAAAAAATAAAAAGAATCCACAACTATTCAATTTATTCCTAAAAACAACATTGAAGTGTAACTACAGATTTTTTTTTTTTTTGAGAGACTTTAGCTATAGGGCGCGTGCGCTCACCAGAAAGACAGAGACAGAGAGACAGAAAGTGAGAAATCACCCCCCAGGGGGATGGCCATTCCACAATCCCTTCTCCATTCTCCTCTCGGGATCTTGGGCACGCATGCACATGCACCCAGCGTGAGTTTAAGCCACCGGGTCTGGGACTTGAACCGTGGTCAACTACATGGGAGTCCAGTGACATAGCCATTATGCTAACTGCTGCTCCCACAGATTTTTTTAATGAAAAAAAAATGTGATCAGATGTCGCCACATACCTGTGCCATAGGTTTTGCATATTTATGTTAGAAAAGAGTATCCGATACATTAATTAGTGATGTTAAATTGTTGTCCTTGCCCTTGGGTCTAAGGCAGTTGCCAGGAGGCCAAATATATTAATTAGTGATGTTAAATTGTTGTCCATACCCTTGGGTCTAAGGCAGTTGCCAGGAGGCCATGTGTACCATGCATACATGGCAATGTTGAACTCTACAGCTCCAGAAGAGGTCATTCCTTAGATGACAATACCTATGGCACTCCCTGTAGCTGTACCGAGCACATTCTCATACACCAGCACATAGAGCCTCCTGCCAGGAAGGGAACTTATGTCAGAATGTCCAGATTTCTTCTATTTTAATCAACAGAACTTGGAGTCATCTGCCAGGCAGGGAGAAGAAAGAAAAAAAACGTACAAAATAAGCCCTAAATAAACTGCAGGAAAGAGGCTAGGGTATCCTGTGGTAGAAGGACTGTGCATTCTGCAGTCTTAAAATCTTTCTAAGTGGCTTATAATCCACTGATATTTTAATACACTGATATTCAAGGGAATATTATATGTATATATTCAATATTTATTCCAAATATTCCATAAACTGAGGATATGGATGAGAATCCAGACAAGAGAGGCTGGCTGGCTTCTAATGCCTTTATCTAAAGTAACAGAATTACTCCGGACCTTTTAGCGTTAGTGGAAAGGAGAGACCACGTGCTGATCATAAACCCAAGACAGCGAATCCACCTCACTCCTTAACATCCTTAAATGTATCATTTTATTTATATGTTCAATTAGCATACCCAATCACCAATATTAGTAACTGTTGCACAGCAATTTAGTAATAATTTAATATACAAGATAACCCACTGAAAATTACCTTGTGGTTTATTTTCATTGTAGTTAATTCATCCACGATAAAAGGAGTTTTTTTCTTCCTTCAGAATGTAAGCAGGCATTTATTCCTAAGGTTAGAGTTCTCTGCATCTACAAGTTAACCAATTTTGTGTTCTAAAAGACAGAGAAAGGAAAAAAAAAGTCATGTTTATTAAGAAAATGCTTTTGATTTTGAAGTTCTAAGCCCGAAGTCATACACTAGTGGCCAAGCAGATGTGTTCTGTTTGGCCAATATAGAAGATACTTTTCCTAATTCAGTCAATATTTTAAAACATAATGTTTCTACATTTAAAGAATAAAATGTGATTCGCTAGTTTATGTTTTGTTTCCTTCCATTGGAAGATCGGACTACATTGGTCCCACATTCTAACATCATAACCCTGGGCCAGCCAAGCACTGGCTGCTCCTTTTGGATGACGTTTGCACAGCCAGGTCCACCACTCTATTAAACTGTGACTGAGGAGAAAAACTGTATTCCCATCATTTTGTATCTCCAGTGTCTTACACGTTGTTGCTTTCCAACTAGTGCTCTCTAAACTATTTTAATTTATAAATGTACTCAGTTCAAGAGTATTATCTAGCTTATCATTTTATATAATTAGAGCTTAAGGGACCAGCAGTTAGTGTAATGGCTATGTTGCTGAACTCCCATGTAG